CACAGTAGTCGCATACACTACCACTGCGGCAACGAAGCAGATAATAATAACCTACTACGATTCCATGAAAAAAAAAGTGAAAGAAACTTGCACTCGGTCCTCAGAAGAGTCCTACAACTCAAGAAAAGTCATAAGTGTGTTGGCGGCCTTCGTGATGGGAGTCCCATCACAAAGGCCAAGCATACTCCCATCATGGGAGTAAGCTTTTCTTGAAGGTTTCAAGGTCGTCAGTTAAAATAATATTAAGTACTTTTATAATTAAAGCTTTTGGCTAATAGGTCATCAACAGCCTTTAATAGTCCACTGCTGGACATAAGCCTTTCCTTAGAAAGGAGGTTTTGGCCTACTATACCACGCTGGCCGGACGGGTTGGTATAGGGTTTGTGTCAAGTTTTCCTTCTCTCTGCAGTGCTGTTGTTCTGCGTAGTTTTTTCCTTTAGTCGGCTCTTACGACACCCACGGGATGAATAGGGCTAATAGGTAATCCAGTAGAAATTTAATTGCAAGGTTAATTAATCCTAGCCAGGTCTGTCTATGGATAGGTTTTCTCTTAACACATTGAGACCCCTCCGTGCCTCGGAGAGCACGTTAAGCTGTCTTTCCCGGTTGCTATACGAAATGTCTGTGGCAATCGTTTAGTTGGAGCACAAGTCTAATAACAGTCTTTCTACAGAACTTCGATATCCCCTAGTACTTACTTGGGTCGTGGAGGTCTGATGGTAGTCGCTCTAGGTAAAAAATCAAAGTTCAACCGTATCGTATTAGACTTAAAGCCGACGCCAACCAAAGGCTCGGAGGAAGAAGACTGCACGGATGGCGTAGTGGTTTAAGCGGTCGCCACGCCGCTTCCTACTGCGCCGAGTGTTGTGGGTTCACATTTTTTTTTATGTTAGAGGAGGCAGACGAGCAGACGGGTCACCTGATGGAAAGTGACTATCGCCGCCCTTGAATGTCTGCAACTCAGGAGTCACAAACGCGTTGCCGGGCTTTTAGGAAGGAGTACGCTCTTTTCTTGAAGGTTTGAAGGTCGTATAGGTCCGGAAATACCAAAGATGATAACCCGTTCCACAGATTGGTTGTGCGGGGCAAAAAATGTCTCGAAAAGCGCACAGTAGTGGTGGGACGACATGGGACGACACTTTGTGTGATCCACAAATTGTTGTTCTGAGTCTGGGTGTTCTTTGTGTCCGTTTCATGTATGTTTGTAAAGTTCCCCGCGACACAGGATATATTCCTAATGCGGGAGTTGTCTTTTATAAAAAAAAAAAATAATTTCGTAAACTAATGCGGGTGAAGTCGCAGCCCTAAGCTAAGCACTATATTTTCGTTGATGATAACTCAAAATACAAAATTTAATACCCCATGTCAACTCCAATTGTGGCTAGAAAGTGTTGAACAGAGAACATGTCTCCCATGACACCATTCGAACGAACTTTCACACCATGCTTGCGTTTGTGTGCTAATGTAATTGTGATATTAAATAGCGTTTACACGGTCGATTTAATAATAATAATAGCTTGACACGTCCCACACACGCCCATCTAATCCTAAACTAGGCAGAGCCTGTGCTATGGTAACCAGACTGCTGATAAACATACTAAATGCATATCCATAAGTAATATTATAAATGCGAAAGTGTGTCTGTCTGTCTGTTACCTCTTCACGCTTAAACCGCTGCACCAATTTAAATGAAATTTGGTATAGAGATAGTTTAAGTCAAGGGAAAGGTCATAGGCTAATTTTTAACCCAGAAATCATCCTATAAGGGGGGTAGAAGTTTGTGCGGGGATTCAACAACCGCTAAACCGATTTAGATGAAATTTGATATGGAGATAGTTTGATTCTTAAGGAAGGACATAGGCCAATTTTGACCGTGATGACGGATATTTATGCGGGCGGAGCAAAAGTTAATAAAAAAAAATAACACCCAGACACAGAACATTGTTTTGCCCATCACACATTTATTTGTCCTGAACGGGTATCGAAACCCCTGGCTCAGCTGTCTTGAACACTTCTCGTCATACTTAATTTCATTGGGACTAGGGATAGAATAATATCACAATCACCTGTTGCAAATCATATTATTTGTAAATCATATAAACACATCTGTGACTAATTTGCAAAACCACTGCGACTAATGTTTATGATTACACTTGCGACAGACTCGAAAGGTCTAAATCAAACATCTCCGATCGACTCGATTCCGTGGCGTTACGTAGAGATGTGGCTTCACTCTGCATGCTCTATCGCATATATCATGGAGAGTGCTCCGAGGAATTTCCGCCATCGTTCCACACGGCAAAATTTTCATCCTCATTACCTGGATAGTTGGCGCTCCACTACTGTGCGCTTTTCGAGACACTTTTTGCCCTGTACAACCAATCTGTGGAATGGGTTATCGTCTGCGGTATTTCCAGACCGATACAACCTTCAAACCTTCAAGAAAAGAGCGTACGCCTTCCTAAAAGGCCGGCAACGCGTTTGTGACTCCTGAGTTGCAGACGTTCATGGGCGGCGTAGGTCACTTTCCATCAGGTGACCCGTCTGCTCGTCTGCCCCCACTAACATTTGATGAAAAATTTGGTTTTTTCTTTTCCTTAAGTTTTTGATGACATTCATGTGTATGACCAAGTACGCGTAGTGATTTATCTGAGATGAAATCGCAGTGACTGAAACTAAACATTTAATTATATGATTATGATTTAAAAAAAAAACCGGTCAGGTAAGAGTTGAAAATTAAGGTAAATTTTGGTGAAGTACCAAAATTTACTTTATTTATTTATTTTAGTTTTCGCGAAAATCGAAATTTGCCCATATCTTTTTATCATGTTGACTTAGGACCTTGATTTTTATACACCTAATAGGGACCATAGACCTCAGTATCTGGTATAAATTTCAACCTGCTAGGTCTACCCGTTCCTAAAAAAATCGGTGGTGACACACGGGCAGACGGACAAGAAAGTGATTTTATAAGGGTTCCTTTTTTACCTTTTGAGGTACGGAACCCTAAAAACGATCACTAATGACTGCTAAACCATAGCAAACCACACTATTCTCTTAAATATACGATTGTATTTACGATATGAATAGGTCACAACGGTAATGTATGAATAACATCTAAATATATGAATCACACGACGCACACATGGAATTTCCGGCTTCTAATCTATGCTAATAATAGAAAATTAAAGAGTTTGTATGTTCAGGTTTCTCTCAGGAACTACTGGTTTGAATTAAGAAGCTCGAAGACTATATAATATTACGCTATGACAATTAGGAGCCGGGTCATCAGCAGTCTTTAGTAGTCCACTGCTGGACATAGGTCTCTCCTTAGAAAGGACTTTTTGGCCTACTATTCCAACCCGGGCCAGACGGGTTGGTATAGGGTTTGTTTCAAGTTTTCCTCCTCTTTACAGTACTGTTGTCCTGCGTAGTTTGTTACCTTAGTCCGCTGTTACGATACCCATGGGTTGAATAGGAGTGGTGAAACACCGTACTCTTAATCCATCACTACATGGACGGATGGAGGAGCCGGATTAATAAAAAATGTTGCAAAACCGAGGACTTATTCCTTTCAAGAGACCCAAACGAAGTTGCGCGGTTCAGCTAAGTAATTTATACGAATAAAATTAATTTGAAATGATGTAATCGGTGAGCGGTTTTACCGTCAGAGCCACGTTTCGGGACGTCCGGAACTTCTCGACCGGAGTGATACCAGGCCTTCACAGGATATCGGTGTTGTAGATGGCCCGAGGTATGTCAGGGGACCAGGGACTTCCTTTCTGGGGTACACCTGGTCGAGTCCGACATGCCACCGCCAGGTGGTATCCGAGGGGATTTCCGCACGGAAAAAATAAAAGGATATCGGTGTTCAGCAATTGGAGTTAATGAGGTTACCGAAGGCCCAACCCTCCTAAATATGGAAGGGGGAGGCTGCACACAAAGGGTTGCGATGGCTTGTACCTCTTGAGTTCAGTTCATCAGGTGACCTTTCCGCTCGTTTGCCCTGTATTCCATAAAAAGTGGTCTCCGCTGTCCTAATGATGTCCCCAACCACAGGTTTCCGTTTACTCTAGCCCTGTTGTTCTATCTACGATTTCCTCAGCAAAATATATTCCTCTCTTTATCCCAGGCAGCGGGTAGCCAGCCGGCATAAAAGATACAAACTTAAAACAATATATCTTTATTATCATAAAAGGCTCATGAATCATATTAAATTCGTTATTTTGGCGGCTCACTGAGGGTTCCAAGCGACTAAGAAAAACCCTCAAAAAACTCAGTCATCCTTTTTTTTTAATTCTTACAACCGTTTTGCAATGATACACATTATGTCCCAAATAAAATTAGGGCAAGGGTAGAAAACTAATGAAATAGCCATTTCTTGCAGTCATTGCTCTGTTCCACGGGAATAAGGCTCTTAAATGCAAACAGAATTATTTTGATTTGTAGATTCAGTGATAGTCCGTTGAAGCCAACAAAAGACCTGTGAAGAAGGGTGTCATGTCCGTCCACCACAAAGGGAGGGTCCTCCGACCAGGCGAGGTGATTATGCCTGACGGACAGCGGCCCAACGGTTGATGTTGGAAAGTTGTAGGATTAGCAGTTACTCCATAGTTCGGTGTTTCTTCGTTAGAAGATACCCAAGTGTATTTTTGCTTCATTGTTTAAGGAAGTCGCTACAGACTCTTTAGTTTCACAATCATTTACGTATAATACATGTCCAAAGATCGTCTAAAGGTCGAAGTTTGACAATAGTTAGTTGACATTAGATAGGAAATATAACTGTTATTTCCTTGACCTTTTTGCATCAAGTTCTTCACTTTTCGTATAAAATTGCAATTGCCATTTTTAACGGTTTTGATCTGATGGTAAGTGCGGCCCCTTCCATGGACACCTGCCATTTATTAGGGGGTCCTCTGGTATTGCCATGCTGAAAATAAGGCGTAATTTGAAACTGACTCGGAATTCTGTCTACCCAGAATTCAGTAAATTTTTGTAACATGCAGGTTTGTTTCAGTAACTTCAAAATCCTTAGGCTAAATGATGATGAACTAACATCACCATCCTCAGATGAAAAGATGGACACTGGATCCGAGTCTTTCCGATCACAAGGCACACCCAATTCAGTCCTATCGTCAGACTTCGAAGGCGACCATCCTGAACCAGTGCTCCGTCTCCAAAACCCTGAGATCTTGCGTCTGACAGCCGTGGAACAACTCAACGATAGTCTCATCACTAAAATGTCGAGTCTCAGAATTGAATCTCCTAAAACTGGTATCAAACCCCCTAAAAGTCTCGGCATCAGCCCACCGAAGTTCAGTTCAACATTGACCCTTACTACTAGTCATCCGTTAATGAGCCCAGACGAAAACTACCCAGATCTGATACCTAAGAAGATACATAAAATCGAAGATGAGAAAGATCTGAGTTTATCCAGCATAGAAGATGAAAGGACTGGAGATAACAATGGGTTTTACAGCCCTCAACGGAATACGTCCAAGAATAATTTGTATTTTAGTGAAGCCTTCGTGACTGCTGAGAGCCACGATTTAGATCTGACCGTTCCTCCTGATGTAGCCAGGGTCGATAAGGTGGAGCGGAGGAAGATAGTGCCTAAGTTAAGAGATGGTACACCGAATAAGGGAGATATGCTACAGTTTCTTGAAGAGAGGAATCTCAAACAAAGTACTCCAAAATCTTTGCCAGTTGATATAAGTAATGTTAATGAAGAATTTCATTCGGTAAGTTTATTTCTTATTCAAATCGAAATACTGTCTTTTTACTGTATAGAGGGGTAAACGAGAAGACTCCAGCCATCAGCTCCGCCAGACTCCTGACGTAGGACAGCTTCCAAAAGAAATTAGAACTGAAATAATAATAATTTATTAATAGAAAAGGTTTTTTTTACTGCTGTCCTGAGGTTTCGGGTTCAATTCCCGGGTCGGACCAAATGTTTGTATAATCAGCAAATATTTATTTCGGACTTAGGGTGTTTTCTATGTATAATATGTATGTATTAACAAATAAAAGTATATTAGTATTTTATCAGTCAATCTAGCTTTCATAATACGAGATCTGCTTAGTTTGAAACTAGATGGCGTTGTGTGTCAGATGTCCGAAATATTATTATAGGGGGCAAACGAGCTGACGCTTACCTGATGGTAAGTGACTACCGCCGCCCATAGATACCTGCAACCCAAGTAAGAGTTGATTGAGGAACGGGAGAGGGAGGTTGGACTCCGGTAACCTCACAAATTAGGTGAAAAGCAATGGAAGGATAGCTTAACACCGGTTTTCTATCGGGCCGTGGAATCTGGTCGAGCTGTTCCATTTAGCCACAGCATGGCTCTACCACGGTAAAATTTATCTACTTCCAGAGTAGACATGTGACAAAATCATAGTGAACGGTGAATGAACGGTGATTTATCATTCGATTTTGTTGCAATAATGAGGTTTGGATCATATATTTTATAATATTACAATTAAAAGGTATTCTACGCGTACAACGCTACACTGTACCACAGAGTAGAGAGCATAGCTCACAGACAATATAAATTAGTCTATAGTTGGAAGGCGCGAAATTTAGGTTGCACAGATTATGTACTTTAACAGATTTTTTTTTTAAATCGGTCACGCCTTGTTGCCAATAAGGTTTTATTAAGTTAAGTAGTTATCTATATATATATATGTATATAAGAGATTACCACGTATATAGTCACTCATCACGATATCTCTGGAACCATTAGAGCTAAAGACTTGAAATTTGGTAGGAATATTCTTTTCACCGAGTAGAGGTCAGCTAAGAACGGATTTTAAGAAATTAAAAAGTAATAATAATAATGTAAATAGCAAAACAACGTTGCAGGGTCAGCTAGTTTTATTATAAATTACTACCATTCCCTACATAATAATTTTAAAAATAGATTTTTTGTTAAAGAGACAAAATAGGGTCTTTATGCATCGTATGAAAACAGCTTATTGGCAAGAACGCGTGCGTAAGTAGTAACCCTAATCTTCGTACGGAAAAATCTAATGATAAATCACAGTTCACTGTGATTTTGTCCCATGTAATCCAGAGGATGATAAACTGTAAGAAACCTATGGTTGGAAGTCCAGGACCGTAATTTATTCAAGAGAATACTCTAAGGAAAATCATTTTGAAGCCAGAAGGGCCATTCGATTATTTTGGACAAAAATTTGCCGTAAGTTGTTGTCTTGCATGATCATCAACAGCCTATAACAGTCCACTGCTGGACATAGGCCTCTCCTTAGAAAGGAGGTTTTGGCCTACTATACCACGCTGGCCAGACGGGTTGGTATAGGGTTTGTTTCAAGTTTTCCTTCTCTTTGCAGTGCTGTTGTCCTGCGTAGTTTGGTCTCTTAGTCGGCTCTTACGACACCCACGGGATGAATAGGGGTGGTGACATTACGTATTCTTATTCCGTCACCACACGGACACGGTCTTGCATGATGTGTTTTTTTTTTGCTGCAGGTAGCAGAGTGGTGTGAGTCACCCTCTCAGCTTCGTGCCATGCCTAATTTTGAACTACCCATCGAAATGTCTAGCAGTATAGGATTGCACAATGTAAGTTCTTGGGTAATTTGGTATTTCTTCGGGGACTGTTATTTCTAACCTTCAGATTATTTCTAACTACCCCCATATATGTTTCTTTTTTACTTATTCATTCAAAGTGTAAACAAATTTATAAGAGAAAGTGGATATACATAGCATTTCTTAAGTCACGAAGGTTTATAATGAATGCTAAGCGTTAGTCTAGAATCTAGACTTAGATTCTAGATCGATACAAAAAAAAACTGAAACTCCCAAAAAAATTGTTTTTATCTCAGAAAATCCTACTAAATTTTGCCCGGCCCGGGAATGGAACCCACTAAGGCAGCGTTTTTCAAATACCACGCGAACGAAGTCGCGGGTATCAGCTAGTATTAAATAAAAAGATAAAAATATTTGCATTCATCTACCATCTCAAGGAAGACCAGGTGAAGTCGGTCTGATAGTTGAAATTGTATTGCATCACACGGCATTTCATGACTCTGCACGAGATGTATTAATCCTGAAGAGCCATCTACTAATCCATCTACATCAGCCGCTTTTTGAAATGATCTTGGAAAAGCGACAGTTGACCAATGACCAAGACTTTGGCCCAGGAATCCAGGGCTTATGAGTTCGAACAACCATTCGGTACAGTTTTATTGTTATCTAGGACCTGGACTCTCCAGACGTTATATCAGCATCGACCCAAGAGGACAGATCAGCGTATCAAGCCCTCCTGGACCCTTACACTGGAAGTGTCGCACTCCGACACACGCCAGCACCTCACAGAAGTCCTGGAGCGCAAAGAAGAAAAATACAACTGGTAAGAGACGATGCCTTATCGTTTTGGTTGAAATAAAAGCCGAACACGGCTAAGGTCTTACTCGGCCTCGGCCTTCTGCATTTATAATTACATTTGGAAACTATACTTAATACTTTTGAAAGCCAACTCCCGCATTAGGAATATATCCTGTGTCCATGAAACGGACACAAAGAACACCCAGACTTCAGAACAACAATTTGTGGATCACACAAGACTTGGGGGATCGGACCCACAACACTTAGCGTAGCAGTAAGCGGCAAGGTGACCGCTTAAACCACTACGCCATACGTGCAGTCGGAAACTATAGCTTTTCCTCGCGGCTACGGTCGCATTATTATTTTTTATTTCGTGTTCCTAACTTTGAAAATAACGATCTCCCATACAACCGTTCACCCTTTCTCTTACCCCTTTAGTGGTGAATTTTCCAAAGATCCTTTCTTAGTAGGTGCTTACAACATAATAGTAATAGTTTAAAAAAACTAAAAAAACACTTTTTAAATTTAGTTTTCTATAAAAAGCGTGTTTTATTAGTTTTTTTGAACTATTATTATTTTTTATTTATTTTTATTTTTTATTTAAATTAGTGTATGGTCATCGGTCCTCGATATATCTAAAAAATTTGAACGAATTCAGACCGTTTAAAGTCAGTCAAAATCACGCCCAAAGGAGTCGGTTACAAACAAACAAACATATTTTGATGATGAATTATTGATGAATTAATCAATAAGGACTAGTAATTTTACATTTAACCGGAATCCGAAGCCATATTATTTTGGGCCTTCGACTAAACCCGCCTTTTACATTCTGTATTTAAAAATAATATCCTTTATATAGACAAATAAATATAATCGAAATGCCTTATTGTGATGTCAGAATAATCGACCTTTACCAAAGACCCTGATCTTTTATACGGTACTCATACTAAAATATCTTAATTTAAATTTTTGTCTGTTTATCTCACTTTCTGTTTAATAGTATTAACTTCACACACGCAGTCTGATCTCAAACTAGGATCAGAACCTGTACTATGATAACGAGACTACTGATAAACATACTTTGTATATATTTCTAAATACGTACCTATTACAGATAAGTTACCTCCAGACACAGAACAAATTATCGTGCTCAACACACAATTATTTATCCTGGGTGGGAATTGAATCCACGATTCCCGGCTTAGCAATCAAAGTCCTCTTAAAAAGTAAACATTCTGGGAGAACCGTAGATAAAAAAGGGGGGGTAATCGTACCATACGATAAAAAAGGGGGTTGCGCGTAGTAGCTACGACTCTAATACCACTATCGTCGTCACCATCAACAGCCTCTAACAGTCCACTGCTGGACATAGACCTCTCCTTAGAAAGGAGGTTTTGACCCACTATACCACGCTCAACTCAAAGAAAAACTTGACACAAATCCTATACCAACCCGTTTGGATAACGTGGTATAGTAGGCCAAAACCTTCTTTTAAAGGAGAGGCCTATGTCCAGCAGTGGACTATTAAAGGCTGTGGATGTGATGTGATACCACGCTGGCCAGACGGGTTAGTTTTTTCAAGTTTCTTTCTCTTTGTAGTGCTGTTGTCCTGCACAGTTTGTTCCCTTAGCCGGCTCTTACGACACCCACGGGAAGAATATGGGTTGTGACACTCCGTATTCTTAATCTAAATATAAAATGCCTTTAGAATACCTAAAGTGTTTTGTTTCATATCTTTGTGAGTGTTATGGCACTGTGTTCCGTCTAACGCACCGTTGCCAATATCGCATTACGTGATAACATAACGTTTCGTAACAATGCTTGTTCACACGCTGACTGCAAGTTTACAAACAGTATGACAAGGAAACAAGCCAATTATTGAAAAGAAACGAAAACCCGACTGCGTGAAAATATATAGGTATTTAAATGAAAACAATCCGCCAATTGTCCGTGTAGTGACGGATTACGAATACGGAATGTCACTTCCCAAATCATCCCGTGGGTGTCGTAAGAGCCGAGGGCGAAGGAGGAAAACTTAACACAAACCCTATACCAACCCCTCTGGCCAGCGTGGTATAGTATGCCAAAACCTCCTTTCTAAGGAGATGCCTATGTCCAGCAGTGGACTATTAAAGGCTGTTGATGATGATGAAACTGCCAATTTTAATCTTTTATAGTTTTCATATGACACTAACAATTAAGACGAATCTTTTTAATCTATCGAGCCTTTGAAGATCCCTCCCCTCTAGTTTTCACGTAGTCATCATCAACAGCATCTAACAGTCTTCTGCTGGACATAGGCCTCTCCTTAAAAAGGAGGTTTTGGCCTACTACACCACGCTGGCCAGACGGGTTGGTTGTTGACGTCCATATTATATGTGTTAGTGTTGCCATCTGGGAGTGTCGCTCACCTTAGCCCTTCTTCCGTTCTTATGACCAAGCGTGGCATTTTAAAGACCACATCCCCCCCCCCCCCTCTTTTTTCTGTGCGGCAATCCTCTTGGATACCACCCACAAGTGGGGTTTTTATGTCGGTTTTGAACCGACAAGAAGCCGTACGCCGTTTCGGGTACCAGTAGCCGGGGAACCAGGTGTACCCTACAAAGGCACCCCGACGTACCTTGGGCCATCAAAGGCTTAAAGATGACCCCCTCCTGTGTGGGAACCGCCCTTGGACTGGTCACTTATAGTATGGGTATATTCCCTTATACGTGCTTCAAAAGCACATGTAACGCGTAGTTTCCATAAGTAAATATCCTTTTTATGTACATTTTTAATTGTTTTTCTTGTCTCTCTAGCCGCCAGAAGTAGAAGATGACAGATGTAGTTTGGACAGCGTGAGTGTTTGCTCAATGGAGTCTGAGGAAGAGCCTCCTGAACCCGATCCCCAGCTGGTTGTGACTCCGCAGCCTGTTCCGATGCTCCGAGATTTATGTGATAACAGCATGTAAGTAATAATAACCTAACACATCTCACTCACATCCTGTGGTGACGAATTAAGAATACAGAGTGTCACCACCCCTATTCATCCCGTGGGTGTCGTTAGAGCCGACTAAGGGAAAAAACTACGCAGGACAACAGTACTGGAAAGAGAAGGAAAACTTGACACAAACCCTATACCCACCCGTCTGGCCAGCGTAGTATAGTAGGCCAAAACATCCTTTCTAAGGAGAGGCATATGTCCAGCAGGGGACTATTAAAGGCTGTTGATGAAGATGATGATGACATCTCACTCACCACCTATGCAACTATGCAGAGCCTGTACTATGGTAACCAGACTGCTGATAATCTTACTTATATATTTGTCGGAGAAACATTATTCTCGTTCGTGGTTGCGGGCTTAGTGGGCTTCATTAGGGTAAAATGCGAGCACAAAACAATGATCACAATTTCTTACAATTTTAATTGAAATTGATAATTTTGTTTAATCAATAATTTCCAGCGAAAAATCAACACTTAAGACCGAGCAGCGGGTTCAGGGCACCCTTCTTACTTTAATCCGAATAAACTCTCCAAGATCCAACTCGATCAGTCGCTGTCACTCAAATGTGTCCCAAAAACTGTCAGCCCTCCTAAAGTAAAGATGGCGCCTCGACCCCGCTCGAGACATGTGTTCTGCTCTGATTGGTCATTCCGTGGATAACAATATTCCTAACTTTTATTACATTAGTAAGGTTTTAAGTTATAGAACAATATACAAAATATGTTACAAATAAAATAAAATAAAATAAAGAATTTTAAAGGTAATTAAAAATGTAAACAAATCAACAATCAGCAATCACATCAAACAACAATCAACCCGACTCCTAGCTTCCTCCGACATATTTATAAATACATACATATTATTCTAGATAAATTACACCCAGACAGGGCCTCAATTCTGCTATTTTATGTTAACGCCAAGCCACTGTCATTCCATTGACACGCTATTGAGATGCCATTGACATTGGTCCCAACACTCCCAACATCGGTATTCTACTAACATAAATTCACAGTGGCATTAGACCGTCGATATAGTAATACAAGTCATCAATGGTGATATCAACAACATTGCCATACCTGGAAAATTAAATATATCATTTTTTTACAAATTTAAAATGTACCGTTTACCAAACTGTTACAAAGACATCGACGACATTTGTATCAGTGACAACTCATCGGGCCATTGGTCTTATATAGTTAGTAGAATAGGAAAAATGCAAAACTATGCTGACGACATTCCTTCGACAGTCTCATCATCATCATCATCATCAACAGCCTGTAATAGTCCACTACTGGACATAGGCCTCTGATAGAGAGGAGGTTTTGGTCCACTATACCACGCTGGCCAGACGGGTTGGTATAAGGTTTGTTTCAAGTTTTCCTTCTCTTTACAGTGCTGTTGTCCTGCGTAGTTTGGTCCCTTAGTCGACTCTTACGACATCCACGGGATGAATAGGAGTCGTATTCTTAAGCCATCACCACACGTCACACACATCGACAGTCTATTGGTACAATATTAAAATAGCAGAAAATATGATCGTACTCATCACACAAATATTTGTCCTGGGTGGGAATCAAACCCGCAACCTCTTAGAAGTCAGGGTCGCTAGCTCCTAGACCAACCGACGTCATACTTGCAGTTACAGACCTGGATCTAATGGAAATCCTTATTCTTCAGTTAAGGTTATCAGGATTATTTAATGATATAATGACTGCCCTGTTGGTCTAACGGTCAGTGATCCTGGATGCTAAGCCAAAAGTCGTGGGTTCGATTCCCATCCACTACAAATAGTTGTGTAATGAGCGCGACCATTTATTCTGTATCTATCTGAGTGTAATTTATCTATACTAATATTAGCGGACTCTACAGAGGTTGTCCTTTACACACTTCTTGACAAAAAAAAAAACATTTTGTAGTGGATCAAATTGTGAATCTAAACCATTCTTCATTCTAACCAACGACGACCGGATGGCGTAGTGGTTTGTGTAACGGACTGCTATTCCAAAGGTCGCGGGTTCGATTCCCGCTCAAGTCATACATTTGTGTGCATGAACATTTGATGTTTGATTTGGTCTGGGTGTTTCTATGTATAATGTGTATGTATTTACATAAAAAAAAGTATATATGTATTTATATCAGTTGTCTAGTACCCATAGTACAAGCTCTGCCTAGTTTGGGACTAGATGGCGTTGTGTGTATGTGGTAGAATATTATTATTATTTATTATTATATTATTCTCAAATCCACTTGAACACTCAAAATTCATCAAAATCTGTCCAGCCGTTTAAGAGGAGTTTAGTCACATACACACGCACACAAGAATTATGTATGTAAAGATTTTAAAGAGTTAAAATTTGTTTGCTCAGGAACTACGGGTTCGAATTGATAAAAATCTTTTAGTATTGGATAGATCTTCTATCGAGGAAAGAGATAGGCTATATAACATCATGCTACGATTAATAGGAGATGAGTACACCTTTTGGTACAAGCAGACGAAGTTGTGCGGGTCAGCTGGTCTATAATAGGATTCGTAATATATAAGTATGTTTATCAGCAACCTGGTTACCATAGTACAGGTTCCGACTAGTTTGGAACCTGTACTATGGTAACCATCAGTTGCAGACGTTCAGTGCCAGCGATGGTCACTTTCCATCAGGTGACCCGTCTGCTCGTCTGCTTCCTCTAACATAAAAAAGACCCTCGTGTAAAAAAATTGAGTTCTCTAACATCATATTCTTTCTTTAATAGTTCAAAATCAACGAACACCTTAAGCGAGTGCAGTGATCCCATACCTGAATATTCTGCTGCCGAGGAGTTGAGTAACGAAAGAGCCTGGATCAGCGTCCCCAGGGGTACTGGACACGCAACTTGTGATATGAAGGTACAGTACATCTTGGCTTTGATAACACTTCTGAAATAGGTGTTCATATTAGAATCACTGGCTGATGGACTTATTCTTCAACGCAGAGCCTAAACGCTGGGCTACAAACTTGAAATTTTGGTAACTGAAAAATGGAAATCTATATATATGTATATATCTCTTATCTCTATATATATAAAAATGAATTGCTGTTCGTTAGTCTCGCTAAAACTCGAGAACGGCTGGACCGATTTGGCTAATATTGGTCTTGAATTATTCGTGGAGGTCCAGAGAAGGTTTAAAAGGTGAATAAATATGAAAATGCTCGATTATTTTTTTAATTCCGTGCATTTTTTAATTGTTTTCATAAAAAAAGGATTCCTTTTGTTTGTTTATTTTATACAAAAGTTTAAGTCTTTTATTTATCAATTGCGGCAGTACGGAGTCTGCCGGGTCAGCTAGTATATATATATATATATAAAAAACAAAGTCGTGTTATGTGATCCGTGTGGTGACGGATTAAGAATACGTATTGTCACCACTCCCATTCTTCCCGTGGGTGTCGTAAAAGACGACTGAGGGAGTAAAATACGCAGGACAACCGCACTGCGAAGGAAAACTTGAAACAAACCCTATACCAACCCGTCTGGCCAGCGTGGTATAGTAGGACAAAAACCTCCTTTTTAAGGTGAGGCCTATGTCCAGCAGTGGACTGTTAAAGGCTGATGATGTGATGTGTGCTTTACACCATTTATAACTCAAGAAGGGCTATACCAATTTTTATGATTTTTGTGTTTTTGGATTTGTCGTCATCTGAAATAGGATAATAAGTATTAAAATATGATATTCATCAATAAAAAGAAATCAAGTCAAAAAATTAGTCTAGTAATTTGTTATAAATGGAATGTTGTTTATGTTTTGTAAATCTGATCAATCGACCGGATGGCGTAGTGGTTTGTGTCACGCACTGCTATTCCAAAGGTCGCGGGTTCGATTCCCGCTCAAGTCAAACATTTGTGTGCATTTAATGTTTGATTTTGTCTGGGTGTTTCCATGGATAATATGTATGTATTTACAAAAAAAGTATATAATATATGTATTTATATCAGTTGTTTAGTGCTTAGTTTGGGACTAGATGGCGTTGTGTGAATGTGGTAGAATATTATATTATATTATTGTTATTATTCATAACAAATGCGGAACAAAGTTCGCCAGGTCAGCTAGTATTGTATAAAAACGGATAAATCTTGGACACTCCAATAATTGTGATGATTAACCACTCTAATGAAGGCTTAAATAAATCTAATCTATTGGTAACACTATAGGACATTTTAAATTCCTTATCAACTCAAATTCAATTCAAATTCAAATTTAAAATATATAAAACCAATTTAACTGTATATTATATTGTTGACTATTTAATTATTAAAAATATTATCAATAATTAACTTAACTTGTTGCAATGTTATTATTTAAATTGACTTAAGGAATTTAAGACTGATTTTAATTTTATGATGATTTTATCTTGGGAGAGACATGCTTCGGCACGAATGGGCCGGCTCGACCGGAGTGATACCACTGCCTCACAGAAAACCGGTGTTAAGCAATTCTTTCCTTGCCTTTCACTAGGTGAGTGAGGTTACCGGAGCCCAAATCCCCCCTCCCGCTTTTTGGGAGTCCCTGGTCTACACAATATTAGGTATACTGGTAAATGACAAAAAATAAGACATCCTCATCATCTCTAGTAATAATAATTCTTTATTGTACAGCATGAGTCCGTGTAGTGAATACGCAATGTCACTACCCCAATTCATCCCGTGGGTGTCGTAAGAGGCGACTAAGGGTGCAAAACAACGCAGGACACCAGCACTGCAAAAAGAAGGAAAACTTGACACAAACCCTATACCAACCCGTCTGGCCAGCGTGGTATAGTAGGCCAAAACCTCCTTTATAAGGAGAGGCCTATGTCCAGCAGTGGACTATTAAAGGCTGTTGATGTGATGATGATGATGATGTACAGCATGAACAAAAACAAGAATAATATAGAAGAATGGTAGTTACATACCAACATGCTCGCCCCCCCCCCCCCCTCCATTTACCCAAGTATCGCGAAAAAATCCCTTATGGTATATACAATGTTATTTACAGGTAATAGAACCGTACAAGCGCGTGATATCCCATGGGGGTTACGACCCCAGGGGCGCAGCGCTCATAGTGTTCAGTGCATGCCATCTGCCAGACGGGGCCCGACCCGACTACACATACGTTATGGATAATTTGTTTTTGTAAGTATCTACATTTCTTAGCCTTATTCCTAAACTAGATTAGGCCAGCTTTAAGTCAACGATACGGCTGAACTTGGAGCACCTCCCAACAGACGTCCACAACCCAAGTACTAGGCGATATGGATTGCACGGATGGCGGAGTGGTTTAAGCGGTCGCCACGCCGCTTCCTACCACGCCGAGTGTTGTGGGTTCAAGCCCCACATGGGACGACACTTTGTGTAATCCACAAATTGTTGTTCTGAGTCTGGGTGTTCTTTGTGTCCGTTTCATGTATGTTTGTAAAGTCCCCCGCGACACAAGATATATATATTCCTAATGCGGGAGTTGTCTTTTTTTTTAAAAAGAAAAGAAAAAAGTCGGTTGTCTGTAAAGTTGGTTTACTGACGATAGTTGAACGTGACAACGTCATAAGAAAATACTGATGGAATGGTTGCATTTTTCAAAAATGTATTATTGTATACGAGTAGCAGCTGTCCACGCGGACGCATCGCTCACTCAAGTAGGAGAGAGACAGATGTCGAACGCTGCCGAACGCGGAGGCCGATTGTGCCTCTTTGTCGCTCGTTCCGCGCTCTCGCTTGCACTTCACGCCTTAAATGGAACGCCTCAGAGCGAGGTAAAGCCGCATGAGTCATGTTTTTTCGTGCATGCAGCCGGCTCTATCGAATTATAAGACGTTGTCACGTCAAAAAGATATAGAACTTCTATACGATATAGAACTATAGGATTCTGAGTCTAAAATCATTGGAATCAACATTCATCACCCTGTTTAGAAAACGTCCGTGTGATGACGGATTAAGAATACCATTTTTACACGCTTTATATTAGCTTCACTTGTATGTTTGTTTGTATGTTTGTAACCGACTCCTTTGGGCGTGATTTTGACTGACTTTAAACGATCAGAATTCGTTCAAACTTTGTAGATGACGATGACAATACACTAATTTAAAAAAAAAAAAGAAATTGTTTTAAAAAACTAAAAAACACGCTTTTTATAGAGAATGGGGGGGTGGGGTGCTTTTTACTATTGACAACAGGCACCCAACACATTTTTTCAAATTTATAAAAAAATATTTTCTATATTTTAGTTTGGTTTTCTATAAAAAGCGTCTTTTTTAGTTTTTTTAAACTATAATTTTTTTCATCCCTTGGGTATCGTAAGAGGCGATCACAGCACTGCGAATAGAAGGAAAACTTGACACAAACCCTATACCAACCCGTCTGGCCAGCGCGGTATAGTAGGCCAAAACCTCCTTTCTATGGAGAGGCCTATGTCCAGCAGTGGACTGTTAAAGTGAATTGAATTGATTTAAAAAATTTCGAATATTTACGTAACTTAAGTACCATATTTTTTCTGTATTGTTTTTAAGAATATCGTTTTGTAGGTACGTGATATGGACGCTCGAAAGGCTGGTAACTGATGAGTATATCCTGGTGTACCTGCACGGCAGTGCGGGGAGGAGAAAGCTTCCCACCTTCCACTGGCTCCACGAGTGTTATAAACTTATAGATAGAAGGTGAGTTCTTTAGATTCCAGGTTTGGTTACTGACCCTGAGTGCTATGGAGAAGGTCGTGGGTTCGATTGCCATCCAGGCCATATAATTTTTATATTATAATTTTTTGTACTGCCTCTCGGGAATTGAATTTTTTACCCAATAAAAAGTTGTCTAAATTTTGGAAAAAGTAATGTACAAAATGCCTTTGAAGAGTTTGTTGCCTCCCGTCCAGCTGATTTTTACAAGAAGGGCATCAATAAACTGCCAATGCGTTGGCAAAGATGCGTCGATTGCATGGGTGATTCCTTAATAACAGAAATAAAAAAGTTTAAAAAAATAAGTACTTTCACTTACGGCACGGCAATTTCATAGGTAAAGACCTAATAATTGTGTGATAGGCAAGATTATATGTTCTGTGTCTGTGTGTAATTTATCTACAATATGCATGTATTTAGTAATATGTTATAGATAGTTCAACTCAGTTGTGCGCGCTTGGACGACGACTGCCACACGAATGAAAGTTGTATATTTACAAGCCCACGCACACATAGGGCCGCGCGCACAACTGAGTTGAACTATCTATAGTATGTTTATCAGCAATTTGGTTACCATGGTTTGGGATCAGATTGTGTCTGTCTGTCACCTCTTCACGCTTAAACCGCTGAACCGATTTAAATGAAATTAGGTACAGAGATAGTTTAAATCAAGGGAAAAGACATGGGCTAGTTTTTATTACAGAAATCATCCTTTAAGGAGGTGAAAAATCAATTACCACTGAGCCGATGTAGACGAGATTTGCTATAGAGATAGTTTAACTCTTGAGGAAGGACATAGTCGCGATTGCTGCTGGGTTTTGGTGTTCTTTGTTAATATTGTTTGAAGTCGGTTCAACTTATTTTTTAAAAGGATTCATTCTTGTATTTATATCGTTGCTAAAAGTCTTTGTAAATTAAAATCACGTGTACACGTGTACATAATGTATGTACTTTGCTATATTTAAATTTAAATATTGTATAAGAGATGACTATCCGTGTGGTGACGGATTGAGAATACAGAGTGTCACCATCCTATTCACACTGTGGGTGTCGTAAGAGCCGACTAATTGAGCAAACTACGCAGGATAACAGCACTGCAGAGAGAAGGAAAACTTGACACAAACCCTATACCAACCCGTCTGGCCAGCGTGGTATAGTAGGCCAAAACCTCCTTTCTAAGGAGAGGCCTATCAAATCAAATCAAATCAAATTTATTTTTGCAGGAAACTGTTACAATGGTTTTATGAATACATAGTTATGTTTCAAGTGATTCTACCTTAAGGTATGCAAAATATATACAATTATTACTTACTAAAATCAAGATCGACATCGAAGTATTTAAATCAAATTAGATTACAGTATTTAAGTATTAAAAATGAATGTAATGTCCTTATTAAAATTATAATGATAAATATTAATTATTTATTTAATAATAATTAGATTAGTTCTATGTCACTCCCTGAATTATTATCATCATCATCAACAGCCTTTAATAGTCCACTGCTGGACATAAGCCTCTCCTGAGAAACGAGGTTTTGGCTATACCACGCTGGCCAGACGGGTTGGTAATTACTGAATTATTATATATTAACAAATTAATTATATTCAAAAGACACACAAAAGGTCTCAGGATTGGAAAGATCATCGTTCAGATAGTCATTCAACTTATAATAACGCTATGTCCAGAAGTGGACCAATTAGGGCCAATGACACGCTGTGACGTCACAATTTCCTATCGTTTTATGAAATTCAAAGGTTTTTAAACATTTGTTTTGTTTCAGATTGCGCAAAAGTCTTAAACATTTGTACCTGGTTCATCCAACATTTTGGCTGAAGTCCTTTGTTATATTAACAAAACCTTTTGTGAGGTAAGTTTTTTTAAAGACAAGTCCCACACTAGAAATATATCCTGTGTCGCGGGGGACTTTACAAACATACATGAAACGGACACAAAGAACACTCAGACTCAGAACAACAATTTGTGGATCACACAAAGTGTCGTCCCATGTGGGGATCGAACCCACAACACTCAGTACAGTAGGAAGCGACAAGGTGACTTCTTAAACTACTACGCCATCAGTGCAGTCTAAGTTAAATGCTGGCGCTATGGTTGAATTGATCGCTTCGCTGTACCGAGTGGGGTTCGAGACCCACACGGACCAAAAATTTATATTATCCACAAATAGTTGTCCAGAGGAATCCCCCAAATTTAAATACTAGCTGGTGCCCGCGATTTCGAACTTGAAAGCGCTGCCTTAGTTCGTTCGATTCCTGGTCCGGGCAAAATTTGATATGGTTTTTCTTAAAGAAAAAATAAGCCAAAGTTACTCCTTATATAGACAGCTACCTGGTAGTAAAATATTATCACAATCGGTCCAGCAGTTTTGAAGATTAGGCCAAAACCTCCTTTTTAAGGAGAGGCCTATGTCCAACAGTGGACTGTTATAGGCTGTTGATGTGATTGATGTGGATGTTTTGAAGATTCCCCAAAACAAACAGACAGACAAAAAATATTTGAACTGGTTTTTAGGCATATGTATCGTGTAAATAACCTTGTAAGCATGAAAAAAACCTATTATTTTGACATTACAAACAAATATACTTCAATTTTATTTATTTGTATAGATAAAATTATTCGTCATATATGGGTCTGGTTCGATCCTAGTGATACCACGGCCTCACTTAAAACGAATCTTAACCACATTTTCCTTACTTTTCACGGAGTGAGTGTCACCACTGGAGCTCAAACCTTCTTGAGTTTACGTGGAGGGACTGAGTACCAGGGATTTTCTTTCTAGGATACACCTGGTTCCCCAATTACCGGTACCCAAGACGGTGTGCCGTTTTTATTCGGTTCAATCCGACATAACCACCCCACTGGTGGGTCATATACCGAAGGGATATTCGCACAGAAAAATAAACAAGGGACTGCAATGCACTTGTTACTGAGGTTACCAGAGCCTAAAACCCTACTACCCTTTTTTTTTTTTTCCGTGCGGAAGTCCCCTCGGATACCTCCTGTCGGTGGCATGTCGGACTCGAACCGACTAAAACCGCACGCCTTCGCCGGGTACTAATAGCCGGGGAACCAGGTATACCCTAGAAAGGAAGTCCCTGGTGCAAGACCCTACTACCCTGACTCTGAGAGGGAGGAGAAAAGGCAGCAACAGGGCACTTGGGATTCGTGGTGTTCATGGGCGGTGATAGTCACTTATTATCAAGTGACGTCAAATTGTTAGCCCCTTGTGTGTGTGCAATTCACAAACGGCAAAATTGAAACATCCGAAGATTTTTTTTTTTATATCTCAGAAAAACCCTATAAAATGCCCTAAAATAACGTTTTACAAATTCCACGCGAATGAAGTCGCGGGTACCAGCTAGTATTAAATAAAAAGATAAAAATATTCACACTGTCAAAATATTACATTAAAAATAATGTGTAATGTATTCTATCTCATTCTCTCGCCGACTTAATCCTATACATTTATGTGTTTGTTTCTTTGTCGTGACGCATTTTCGTTTCATCGAGTTTCATATCACTAAAAAAACTTAAAATTTCAGTTCGAAATTCTTTCGGAAGCTGTCCTACGTCAGGAGTCTGGCGGAGCTGATGGAGAAAGTGCCAGTGGAACCGAATGCTATCCCGGAAATGGTGAAACAATTCGACGCTACAAAACGATAGACAAAATGTCTAAGATTGGTATCACAGCTGGCGATATTCACATAAGACGATCTGAGTACTCGAATAATCTCTGTTTGGCTTTAAGAATAATTATTTAGATTTGTATACAGGTGTTACTAGAGGGTGTGGTTATAGGCGTAGTGGTATTCGTGGAGGAAATGGGTATTATGTCCCTCAAATGCTAAGGGAGGGTCCTTCCACCAGGTGAGGTGATCATGCCTGACGAGCCGCGGTCCAACGATAGCTGTCCGACTCCATATTATACTAAGCATCATCAACAGCCTCCAGCAGCCCATTGGCTGGAGATAGGCATCTCCTTAGAAAGGTTTTGGCCTTCTATACTACGCTGGCCAGACGGGTTGGTTTAGGGTTTGTGTCAAGTTTTCCTTCTCTTTACGGTGCTGTTGTCCTGCGTTGTTTGCTGCCTTAGTCGACTCTTACGATACCGATTAATAAGAGTGGAGATACTCCGTATTCTTTATCCACCACACGGATACGGCGCGAGAAATTCCTTTGCGCGATACAGTAGAAACTCCGTAGTTCGGCGTATCGTCGGTAGATGTCGTTGTTGTATGTTTTTTTCGTTATGTGTGGGAGTCGCCATATTACAAAAAAAAGGCTTGAAACATAGAATGTTATAAGTCTTCTTGTTGTTCTTTTCTTAAATAGTCATAACTCAAACTCTCTTTATTTCATAAAATTTTCAAAATTGTTTGAAATCGTCTTTTATGTAGACTCTAAAGTCATAGATCAACACACACAAAAGCAACAATCTCTGTTTGGTCAAATAGTAAGCAAATAAATTTAACAAAAATCAAACCTATACAAAATCTATGATATGCCTGTGCCGATCCACAACCGCCCAAAGGGGTTGAGCCTTATGAGAAAAAAGGGCAAACAAACTCATGGCCACTCTTTTGCAATATATATAGAACAAATCCGGCTATTCTAGTCTTCTTTTATAAACACAAAGTCTTTTAATCTATTACCACATCTTTTTTGTTCTTCTTTATGGTATATCACTTTAATCCTCGCCCCGCCTCCACTCAGAATAAGGTGGGAGCGGTTTCGGTTCCAGTAACCTCACACACTCGGTCAAAACCAACAAGAGAATTGCTAACACCGGTTCCTGTGAGGTTGACTGACTGTTTGTGACTCCTGAATTCCAGACGTTCATGGGCGGCGATGGTCACTTTCTATCAGGTGATCCGTCTGCTTGTCTGCCACCTCTCAAGTCAAGTCAGGCGATTAATTTTCATAATTCTTCTTTTCTTCTTTTTTTTAAAGACAGCTCCGCGCTAGGAATATATATATATCGCGGGGGACTTTACAAACATACATGAAACGGACACAAAGAACACCCAGACTCAGAACTACAATTTGTGGATCACACAAAGTGTCGTCCCATGTGGGGATCGGACCCACAACACTCAGCGCAGTAAGAAGCGGCAAGGGGACCGCTTAAACCACTACGCCATCCGTGCAGCCATAATTCACAGGATGTTGTCCCAATAACGAACACGAATACTACCACACCTCTGTAACACGCTGTATACAATAATGTTGTATTATTTAACCTTAAACAATGCAGGTGTAATGTACAAAAAGAAATATCATAAATAATAGAAAACATTTGATTTTGTGCTATATTTTTATAGAGAATAAGGTCCAAAATAAAACTATTATATATTTATTAGATAAATATTACGCACTGGAAGAGTTTTAACCCTAAATTTAAAAAAAATGGTCGAAACGAAGTTTCTGCCAACTGAAGTGTCGGAAAGAGTCTTGTTACACAATTTTCGATCAAATCCTGCTCCCATCCGCTGAAAGCGTGTAACGCCCGAAAAGGAACTTCGTTTCAATATATTACACGAATAGATTATCAAATTATATAACAGACATGATCACTCCTTTATAAACAAAGGGGTCGACAGAGGCCATATGAAAACGCTCACATGGTACCAACTTTAATTTAAGTGCCATTATGTAAAATGGGGCACACGTATTGTCTTCAACTGGGCATTTTAGGGATTGGATGGGGAAATTGGGAGTATTTTAAAAGGAAACAGAATATCTATAAATTACGTAATACGAATTTCATGATTTTTTTTTACGCCTATACCCTACGCCGCCTATACTTGTCACACCTGGTCATATATTTTACAATTTCACATATGGAAATTATTAAATTGAAACAGGTAACGAAATTATTTTTAATTCCATTCAAATTATTATTTTTAAATTTCAATATATTAAATATTTACAGAAAGCAACATTAATTAATTTAATAGAATATAATAAAACAAAAAACGATGAATATATTAGGTTTTGTAATGAGACGTCACGAAACTTAGGACCCCTTGTCACACAACGTTACACTTCCTTGACTCCTCCCCTTTAGGTGTGATGTAATTTATGGATGATCTGATGGGTTGGGGAGTGTCGCCAATGGCTGGAGTCATTAATTGCTCAGGGTCATTAACTAGAACTGGACTGTTTGTGGAAAGTCCAGGCCCAACATGTTAAATATCAAAACATTAATTATTAATAACTTTTGACAATAATTAACACTCTGCTGTCAAAGTTCATTAAATATACTTCTTTGTAACATTCGAATAAATTTCACAGCAATTTTGAATAATTCACCTAAATGCACACATTTTACAGTCCATTTTGCTAAAGCAATAGTCTCCAGTAACAATTCTACTCAATACAGCATCTTTGTCTTCATTACAAAGGTCTAAAAATGCACGTGAACACTCTACGCGCTGTTGCTTTTGCGTCGGCGTGAGCATTCTCGGCACCCATCTTGCATCTTAATAAAATCTTAATTTATAATATTCATCACTATATTACATTCGCGTTAAGAAAATAGTAACGCATTGATCAAGCCCCGCCCCCTGACTAATCAGGTACCAAACTTTCGTACGAAACGCTAATTTCTTAAAACTGGGGTGGTTTTTCTTGGTCAGGGAGCGGGGTTTGATCATCACCATCAACAGAATTCAATAATAATAATAATAATATTTTCAGACATCTGACACACTACGCCATCTAGTTTCAAAGTAGGCAGAGCTTGTACTATGAAAGCTAGATTGACTAATAGAATACTTATATAATTTTTTTTGTAAATACATACATATTATACATAAAAAACACCCAAACTCCGAAACAAATATTGGCAGATCATACAAACATTCGACCCGGAAATCGAACCCGAGGCACAGCAATCGCATACGCTACTACTGCGCCACCGAGGCAGTCATAGTCCACTGCTGGACATAGGCCTCTCCTTAGAGGTTTTGGCCTACCACTGGCTTGACAGTGCGCCACTATTCTCTAAACACGAATAGACTATAACTATTCCTTAAAGTTTAGCCTACGTCTCTGATCGATCCCTCATGTCTGAGGGTCGTGGACAGGGTAGAACTTAGAACGCACAATAATGAATACCACATCACACATCCACATCAACAGCCTTAAACAGTTCACTGCAGGACATAGGTCTCTCATTAGAAAGGAGGTTTTGGCCCACTGTACCACTCTGGCCAGACGGGAATACCACTTAATAATCTTCCTTAGAGAAGTCAGAACTTTGGACACATCTTAACAATCTATACAAAATACAAATAAAATTGAAGTGTCTGTTTGTATTGTCAAAATTATAGGTTTTTTTATGCTCATACGGTTATTCGCACGATACTTATGCCTAAAAACCAGTTTTTGTCTGTCTGTCTGTTTGTTCCGGGTAATCTTCTAAACGGCTTTACCGATTTCGATAATATTTTAACGATAATTTCTTGGAACAGGAGCGGTTGTTCTTGGTCAGGTAGCGGGGTTTGATCATCACCATCAACAGAAAATAATAATAATATTTTCAGGCATCTGACACACTACACCTTCTAGTTTCAAAGTAGGCAGAGCTCGGACTATGAAAGCTAGATTGACTAATAGAATACTTATATACTTTTTTTTTTATAAATACATACATAGTATAAAAAAAACACCCAAACCCCAAAACAAATATTCGCAGATCATACAAACATTCGACCCGGAAATCGAACCCGAGACACAGCAATCGCATACGCTACTACTGCGCCACCGAGGCAGTCATAGTCCACTGCTGGACATAGGCCTCTCCTTAGAGGTTTTGGCCTACCACTGGCTTGACAGTGCGCCACTATTCTCTAAACACGAATAGACTATAACCATTCCTTAAAGTTTAGCCTACGTCTTTGGTCGATCCCTCATGTCTGAGGGTCATGGACAGGGTAGAACTTAGAACGCACAATAATGAATACCACATCACACATCCACATCAACAGCCTTTAACAGTTCACTGCTAGACATAGGTCTCTCTTAAGAAAGGAGGTTTTGGCCCACTGTACCACTCTGGCCAGACGGGAATACCACTTAATAATCTTCCTTAGAGAAGTCAGAACTTTGAACACATCTTAACAATCTATTCAAATGAATAAAATTGAAGTGTCTGTTTGTATTGTCAAAATTATAGGTTTTTTTATGCTCATACGGTTATTCGCACGATACTTATGCCTAAAAACCAGTTTTTGTCTGTCTATCTGTTTGTTTCGGGTAATCTTCTAAACGGCTTTACCGATTTCGATAATATTTTACTACCAAGTAGCTACATAAGGAATAACTTAGTCTATTTTTCCTCTCAGAAAAACCCTTTAAAATTTTGCCCGGTCCGGACATCGAACCCACTAAGCCACCAGCTAGTTTTTAAATTTAAAAACTTTCTATGACACACACACTAGACCTAAACTTAGCAGAGTTTGTACTATAGACTGGACACGGACAAACATACCAGCAACTTTCATTAAAACATATAGTATTTATTAAATAGATAGTATTTATGGTACTTTGGATCATCCTGATATGAGTATAATATGAAAAGTAAAAACAAAAAAAGGTTTACAGTAGTCGCATATGCTGTTACATCTGACGTTTCACCAACTCATACAACTCTATAAGCG